AACATCTTCTCTTCCTTAGTTCTCAGCACCATTCTAGTAGACATTCGTCTCTTCTTGAAAAGGCACATTTTCATTGAATTTATCTACTTGCGTTTGTATTTGTGTATATTAGTATTAGGCAGTACATACAATATTTTATGCAACCCCAACATGTATAACATGCCAATAACAGTAGGATCTCACCGGATCGGATCAATCATTCACCCTTTATTTCATATTGGAAAATTCGTTTGGCATACGTACTGTTTAGTATAAGTACTGTTTGGTATTCGTACTGTTTCGTATACGTCCTGTTTGGTATACGTCCTGTTTTGTATACGTCCTGTTTTGTATACGTCCTGTTTACTACCTCTCATCGTCACTTTAGTATCTTCTGTGAAAACCTGGGGTCAACTAAGAGTTAACTTTATGATGATTACTTCATTTTCCAGTTTCATAATTTTATCTTCCTGTTACTTCGATTGCATAAAGCAGATTTCAGGGGAGGGACACTGTATACATGTTAATTTAAAATAGGGGATTGGGGGAGGGGGGGGGGGGCAGTAGACGAAAGCCAGTTTAGAAATCTGTGCTTTATATCCTCAATTCTGTGAGTGTCACACTAGAATCAGGAGTACAGCGAGCACCAGGCGATGGCCAATGTTAGGGGCCATGCAAGCAGGGTAATCAGTAAACATGGACATAAAATATGTGAAAGTCGCCTTGTGGCTACATGCAATAACGGCGTACCATGACAGGGAGCAGGGAGAGCCAAGCAATACCATTGGGAAATCAACGCCAGGACAGGAAAATGCATCGGGTAGATGGTGCCAGAAAAGACATGCCTGTCTAGATGGGATTTAATTGAATGGAGTCCGAAAGGAGGAGAGCACGTGGAGAGAGAGAAAGGGGGAGATAGAGAGAGAGAGAGATATAGAGAGAGATAGATAGAGAGAGAGATAGAGAGGGATAGAGATAGAGAGAGAGAGAGATAGAGATAGAGAGAGAGAGAGAGAGAGAGAGAGAGAGAGAGAGAGAGAGAGAGAGAGAGAGAGAGAAGGGCAGTGATTGTTTTGTTTTATATTTGCTTCCTGTCACATCTGTTTGCATGGCTGCAGTCATCCTAGCCATAGGATCTATGTTTTCCTTGCAAGTCGGAGTATATCTGCGCAACAGGCAAGGAACAACATGTTGCACAAAATTAAGCCAGTAAAACGGATGTACACGCAAAATTCAGGTGTTGGCACAAAGTCCGAGTCCAGGTGGACGAACAGCCAGAACTTTTAGCGGGAGTCACAGCAGGTGAACGCAAACAAACATGTATGTGTTGCCTGCTAGTCTTAACTAAACCTGATAAAGGAAAGTAGTACTGATACAGCAACAAAAACAACAAGAACATCCCGGTTCGAGTTCGGGGGGCCTTTTTACTGTAGGGCTGCGATAGCGAAGTCGTTGTGAGACTCGCTTTCAAATCCAGCTGCTACTCGCTGCAGCCCACGGCCGGTGTTTGAAACTGGGCGGTTCACCCAGTCTGTAAGAAATGGGTACAGGAGTTAGGACTTTGGGGTAAATAGAGGAATGTCGCTGTAGCTACGGAGTTGCGTACGGACGGCGACAGCGGACAGTTTCTTATCTGCTGTCCGTACAGGTGTCAGAGCACTAATGGTTTAGAACCGTGTGCAATGACGCTGGTTCACATCTCCCAACCTTACCTTTACCGTTTTTACTGTGGAAAAAAAAAAAAAAATAGACCCACTGTTCCTTAATCAGCACGAGGTGAAAGAGATTAAACCAGGGTCTGCAGAAATCAAGTGTATTGAGCCGAAGGGCGTAGATATCACATCTTTGCTGTAAACCACAAAGAAACAAACTAACAGTCCTTGTAAGCGAGAGCAGAGAAGATGATGACGATGGTAATAAAGAAGAAGAAAAATAGTGACTTACTTAGTGGCTCCTCTTTTACCTTGCGGTGTAAAGGGTTGCCAGAGAGATCGCCAGACGTCTCTATCAGCAGTTTTCTTTCTGGCTTTGTTTCATTCCAGTCCTCGGTCATCAAGGACTGTCGGATGTTGTCTTCCCAGCGGACCCTGGGTCGACCTGGAGGTCAGGTTTCCTGGTTCTTAGCCTCCCATGTCTTCCATGTATAAATTTAATGTATATTATTCTTCTGCCTTCTATCCCCCAATGTAACATTGGTCCTCAACCAACTCATGCAGAGTCCTTCTGTGTTTCATTATTGCATACAGCCCACCCCATGTCCTCCTAAACGTTTTAAATTTGACTACAAAGCCGCCTTCTCTTTGTTTTGTTTTTTTGTGTCTGCCTTTAGTTCTATTCCCCTGTGGTTCCAGTGTAAAGACATTATAGTTAAATGTATGTAGTGTGTTTGCTTAATGACTGTGGACTTTGTAAAATCAAATTTTTTTTTTGCCTACCGTAATTAAATTTGTGTATTACGTCATATTTCAAGCTCCATTTAACCGTTAGTTTGGAATATCACTGCTATATACCGGTGTTTTAGTAATCGATCTTAGCTATAACGGTGTTAACTATTGGAGAAAGAGTATTTTTTATTGAGCATGTGTTCCTAAATGGTGGCAGGTTTTTGAAAGTGCTTGTTCAACAATTTATGATGAAATTTCCTGATACTCAGGGGCCTCATCCTAAAACTGTTAGCAGTTTAACCAGTAGAATCAACTGTGAATAAAGCTGTAATGCGGAAAACAGTACCAACAATAAGACATACTATAGCAGTATATGTTGCATTAATTAAACAGAACGGTGATTACAAAAATAGCAATAGCAATAATTTCATTTTTTTTAATATAAAAAAATATAAGAAAAATTTAAAGTAAAGATCCCTCTCCACGCCTTTAGGCGTATCGGGCATATGGGAAGAGCACCCATATTTCTACAGACCATCAGTACTTGGTGGGTAATGTGGTCAGCATTACGCCGGCTGTCTCTACTTTCCCAGGACAGCACATCCTGGTACCCATTTGAGGCTGGATCGACCTGCGACGTCCCATACCACGATAAAAATCCACGCAGCCCGCACTGGGTTTCGATCGCGGTACATTGGATTACGAGTCGGACTTTAAAAAAAATACCCTATTTAATTGTCATTTTTTCCCCCCAGACGTGCACTTCAGCAGTGGGAAAAGAATGGAACAGCCCCGCTGTTACATCAACTGTGTTATGAGGACATGGTTGCGGTAAATGAGATGTTCATCGACACAATGGAAGACCTAGAGTTTCTAGGAGTGTCCGTAAGTATTCGTGTAATGTGTTACTGTAGTCTTTGTTTGGCTCTGTCTTTATTACACATACGCCCCTCAGTTTACACCCCGCATATAACAAAACAGAACGCTCGACGCATGCTTACGCCACTCCGCGCAGAAACTTTGAAATGGGAAAGCTACCAGTTACTAGCTCTACAATTGTAGCTGCCCACGCATTTTGTTACAATAGCGAAGCGACAAGGAGGAATATATCACGCGATTCATTCTCGGCCGTGATAGGTACCTGCTAACCCTTACATGTGCGATTTGATCACGCCTCGCCACTGCTCTATGGAGCATTTGCCCTGTCTATGATTAGGAAGAAATGGTTACCAGACGACTCTTTAAATGGCTTCGATCAAGGGCGGTCGGCGTTTGGCGTATTTCACACTGACACATATTTTATAGACCAATCGGCACTGGGCGGGTGATTCGGCAGACATCACGACTATTGATGTATAGAGTATCACGTGCGTCCCTCTTCAGTCAAAGTAATTGCGTACCGCGGAGTGAGAATTGTTAAGCTGTTACAAATATTGAGCCACAGTGGAAGATTTTTGGAACAGTCTATTGTAGTCACTTATAGCTGCTGCATCGGGGCACTGAGCACGTGTAGGGAGGGTTCATTGTCCAGTGATTTATGACTGACAGACATGACACTGTATTTACTCGTGCATGGGCCGCAGTATTTTGGGCAAAACTCGTTGATGAAAAATATGATGCTGCTTATATTCTAGATATTTAGCCGACTTGCCACTTTTACAACAAACAAAAAAAATCCCAACGTAATTCCTACCACTGAGCTGGCTACACGAAAAGCAGCTGCTGGGAGACTCTTCCAGGCCATAAACCGAGGGTTTCTTAGCGAAAGAGAAATTGGCAAGAGGACGAAAATGGCTGTCTACCGCTCTACCTATGTACCAGTCCTGACCTATGGGTGTGAGTCATGGGCAATGACAACAGCTCACAGAAGCCAGCTGCAGGCCTCGGAAATGAGATACCTGAGAAAGGTGGTCCAAGTGACAAGAAGGGACAAAGTCCGCAATCAGACAATACGTCAAGATCTTGATACCCAGCCCTTACTAACCCGAGTAGATCAGTCACAGTTACGATGGTTTGGACATGTATAGAGAATGGGAGAAAATCGGCCACCATGGCAAGCATGGGAGGCTAAGAACCAGGGAACCAGACCTCCGGGACGACCCAGGGTGCGCTGGGAAGACAACATCCGACAGTCCCTAACTGACAGAGAACTGGAATGGAACAAAGCCAGAAAGAAAACTGCTGATAGAGACGTCTGGCGATCTCTCTGGCAAACCTCTACACCCCAAGGTAGAAGAGGAGCGACTAAGTAAAGTAAAGATTCCGACCACATAACCCATCTTGTGCCGATTGGTTTATACAAATTTTTGTTCTATCCCTATATGCCCTATAGCCTAGAGGCGTGGAAAGGGGACGCTTACTTTTACTTTACTTGCACCATTTTGGAACATACCTTATGAAAACAATACTGGTAACTGACCCCAATGTTGTCCGCCGCTTAATCACAAGAATATTTCGCGCCATAAAGCGCCTTGCCCGGGCATCACCATCACCATCATCAGATCTCTTGATGCCTAGTGGCACATGTCCTGTGCAATCTTCAGTGCAGTTTTTCCTGTCAAAGATGCCGCACTGAGGTCACTCTCCATCATTCGTCTCATATTGTTTTTGGGCACATTTTTTTTTCTTTTTCCCTCTGGTGACCATATGAGTGCTGTTTTGGCAGGCAAATAAGGATTCATTCTCGTAACGTGACCAAGCCATTTCCGTCTTCTCTTGGTTACCATACCGCTTAGAGTTTTTTGGTTTGTGGCGTGAAGTCGTATAGTGTTTGAGAGGGTATCTGGCAGAAAATTTTGAAAATTTGCCAAGACATAATTGGCTTTAAATTCTCTCTGAGGAATCTTCATGATGTCTGCTTCAAACTGTCACATTTCCAACGACACAGAAAACCCATCTGCCCGTATTATCTTGACATATTCTTCCTAGTATTTCACCTCCTTCCTGCCACAATATTGTTCACTTTAACATTTATTTTTCAAGAGCATCTTTTATTCCAATCCATCTTCATGTATTTTTTCCCTCATCCTCATTTAACTTGATTCCAACTGCTCGGAGTTCATGTTCATGCGCATAACGCACTACTTACAACCTAAATTTACAACTGTAACGTGTCCCTACACGGCCCATCTTTGACTGCTTACAGGTACTGTTTTTTCGACTTTTGTCTTCCCATGAGATTCTAAGAAAATGATTTGTTCTTCCAATTATCGTCTCATAAACGACATTAGGTCTAAACACACGTAAAATACGGTATTTGTATCTTATGAACGTTCTCACTTATTCTGTTTTGTTTGGTATTGTTGGAAGTTATTTGAAATAATCATACTTTGAATGTCATGTTTTGTTTTCTATCGTTGGATGTTATTTGTTATATTCATACTTTGATTGTCATGTTTTGTTTGGTATCGTTAGATGTTATTTGTTATATTCATACTTTGATTGTCATGTTTTGTTTGGTATCGTTAGATGTTATTTGTTATATTCATACTTTGATTGTCATGTTTTGTTTGGTATCGTTGGATGTTATTTGTTATATTCATACTTTGATTGTCATGTTTTGTTTGGTATCGTTAGATGTTATTTGTTATATTCATACTTTGATTGTCATGTTTTGTTTGGTATCGTTAGATGTTATTTGTTATATTCATACTTTGATTGTCATGTTTTGTTTGGTATCGTTAGATGTTATTTGTTATATTCATACTTTGATTGTCATGTTTTCTATCGCTAGATGTTATTTGTTATATTCATACTTTGATTGTCATGTTTTCTATCGCTAGATGTTATTTGTTATATTCATACTTTGACTGTCATGTTTTGTTTGGTATCGTTAGATGTTATTTGTTATATTCATACTTTGATTGTCATGTTTTGTTAACAGGGTCCGGTCTCTTTCAAAGGCTCAGACAGAGAGGGTATTGGCATCGTGTACCAGATACAAGGTACGGTGTGAAAAATGCAGTGAGAGAACGTAGTACAGTCATTGTTGTAATGAACACGGATAATGATACGTATTCCAGAGAGAAAGTAATTTTCTTTTTGATATTCCAGAGAGAAAGTAATTTTCTTTTTGATATTCCAGAGAGAACGTAATTTTCTTTTTGATATTCCAGAGAGAAAGTAATTTTCTTTTTCATATTCCAGAGAGAAAGTAATTTTCTTTTTGATATTCAAGAGAGAAAGTATTTTTTTTTTTATATTCAAGAAAGAAAATCATTATCATTTTGATATTCCAGAAAGAAAGTCATTTTCATTTTGATATTCTAGAAAGAAGGTAAATTTCTTTTTGATATTCCAGAAAGAAAGGAAATTTCTTTTGATATTCCAGAAAGAAAGTAATTTTATTTTTGATATTCCAGAACGAAAGTAATATTGAAATTCCATAGATAAATTACCAGTTATTTGATAATCGATAGAGAAAGTAACACATATTTGATATTCCAGAGAGAAAGTAACATTCATTTGATATTCTCGAGAGATAGTATTTGTTAATATTCGAGAGAGAAATTAACAATTATGATATTCCAGAGAATGTAGTATTTATTTGACATCTCAGAGATAGAACGAAGAATTTTTTTACATTCCAGTGAGAAAGTAGCATTTATCTGATATTCCAAGAATAAAGTAGCATTTAATTGATTTTTCAGAGAGAAAGTATAATTTTTTTTAAATATTCCAGTGAATGTGACATATTTTATATTCTTGATAAAATGCAACATTTATTGGATATTCTACACACAGAGAGAGAGAGAGAGAGAGAGAGAGAGAGAGAGAGAGAGAGAGAGAGAGTAATATTTGTGTTTTATATTCCAGAGCGAAAGTAATATTTTTGTGATATTTCAGAGAGAAAGTAGCATTTATTTGATATTCCAGAGAGAAAATAATGTTTTTTGATATTGCTAGAATTGTATTTGTATATATAATTCTCAAAAAATTGCTGTTGTGATCAACATAACGCAAACCACCTTTACTTTCCATGAGATCACCTGGTATCGTTTTAGGCTAGAGAGATCCGAAAACCAAATTCAGTAAATACTCAGTTCCGTGTAGATTTGAACCCATACCCTTCATTCCGTCTAGCAGCTAAGCAACTTCGGCTCTCGCGCCAATGTTGACAAAGTGTAAGTTAAATATTATTTAGCAAACTTGACCATCGACAGAACCAACATTTTGAAAATGCGTAAATGCAGACCTCTTAAGGCGATATCAGAACTGGCGAATTTCTCTTGTGAGAAAGGTGTAGGAAGGATATTAACATTTTCTGATGATGTTCTTGCAAATAGGCAGGGGAGTAATAGGCAACACAGAGCCAAAGAGCTACAGGCAACTGTAGACAGAGTGACTGACAGGTGTGCAGAAATGGGTGCTGTCATCAATTCAGAAAAGGCAGCTGTTTTGTTGTTCTCTCTGGACAATAGAATTGTAACAGCTAATGTTCCAAGTCTCCCAATTAATATCAATAACATTAAAAGAGAAAGCAAACTGAGGTTCCTGGGTATCATTTTCGATAGAAGACTGTCCTTCTGGGTTCATGTGGAGGCAGTTGACAAAAAGGACTCAATACTCTCAAGATGATGGCAGCAATGCACATGAAACAAAGAATGTTGTTCACAATGTTCCAGCATGTGATCCCGTCGGTGATAGATTATGGACTTGGAATGTTTACCATATCAAAGAGTCAGCTGATGAAACTTGAACGCATGCAGAATAAAGCCATGCGGATAATTCTGGGATGTACAAGAGATGCCCCGGTAGTATAAATGCAATATATACTTGCATTGTCTGCAATTGCAGATAGGCTCAAAGATCTGCAAGCAAAGTAATATTTCAGAGTAGTTGCGGACAAGAAGCACTTCCTACATGAAGCCCTGGATAGAGCTAAGGGCCACAGTCTGAAAAGAGGAAGGTCTTGGATGGCGCAAGCTGAAGACGCAATCAGACTTGTGTGCAGCTTGATACATTTGTGCGAGGTGAGGAGTGGGTCAAAGTGTCCGAGCTAGTTTTAGACTTTTAAGGGTTCTTATCACTTTGGGTCTGACCAGCGGGTGCTCAAGAATCAAAAGCTCAACAAATGATTCATGACAACGCTCGCCAGGTGATGTGATTATCTATACAGATAGCTCTTTTTGCCTACATAGTTCCGGTTTCAATCTGCCAATCGCGGAAGCTTCCGCGTATCGAAGTAATCTACGGTTACATTCCGCGATTGGCAGATTGAAACCAGAACTATGTAGGCAAAAAAGAAATGGTCGTTGCCCTACGCTTACCTTGGTGAAACAGTTTGAAATGTACTCGAATTTGTGTTTCAGTTTCTAGGATTCAGCTATTTGCTTCATTTTAATTGATTGTTACTGTAGTATGCACCTGACGAGATACAGCGAAATATGACAGGCAACAAATTGTGCAGTCTATTGTTTGTGTCTTCTTTGTTCAAATTCACACCATGGAAACATTGCTTTGGTTACAAACATTGACAAAATATAAATAACAGAAAGACTGGCAAGATAAATCAACAAAACTAAACATTGCCAAAATACAAAAAATAGAAATATTGACAAGATGCAAACATTACAAACATTAAAATAGAAATAACACAAACACTGGCAAGATATAACAAAACAACTAAACATTGACAAAATACCAAAAAACAAACTAGCAGCAGATGTCTCTGACGTCAGTGTTCTCTGCCACCAACAGGAGGCAACTTCAGCCAGGTGGCCCTCTACCAACCGTCCAGCACCAGCCTGGACTTCCAGTGCGACACCTGCAGCCAGGTGTTGTGGCAAGGTGAGTGCTGTTGTTATTTACAACTGTAGAGGGCCAGATGACGTACATGTATTATAATGTACTTCTAGAAGAAAGAAAGAAAGAAAAGAAGGAAAGAAAAAAAGAAAGAAAGAAAGAAAGAAAGAAAGAAAGAAAGAAAGAAAGAAAGAAAGAAAGAAAGAAAGAAAGAAAGAAAGAAAGAAAGAAAGAAAGAAAAAAAAGAAAGAAAGAAAGAAAGAAAGAAAGAAAGAAAGAAAGAAAGAAAGAAAGAAAGAAAGAAAGAAAGAAAGAAAGAAAGAAAGAAAGAAAGAAAGAAAGAAAGAAAGAAAGAAAGAAAGAAAGAAAGGAAAGAAAGAAAGAACGAACACACGAATGTCGAACGAACTAACAAATATTTTTTTTAAATGGTTAAAAATTGGGCACGCAGGCCCGTCTAACATTCTCCCCCTCGAGGCCTCCCTTAGTTCTTACATCATTTCATTTATACATGGAAGGAAGCAAAGGAAAAAAAGAAAGAAAGAAAGAAAGAAAGAAAGAAAGAAAGAAAGAAAGAAAGAAAGAAAGAAAGAAAGAAAGAAAGAAAGAAAGAAAGAAAGAAAGAAAGAAAGAAAGAAAGAAAGAAAGAAAGAAAGAAAGAATGACGGAAAGAAAGAAAGACGGAAAGAAAGAAAGAAAGAAAGAAAGAAAGAAAGAAAGAAAGAAAGAAAGAAAGAAAGAAAGAAAGAAAGAAAGAAAGAAAGAAAGAAAGAAAGAAAGAAAGAAAGACAGACAGGAAGAAAGAAAGAAAGAAAGAAAGAAAGAAAGAAGAAAGAAAGAAAGAAAGAAAGAAAGAAAGAAAGAAAGAAAGAAAGAAAGAAAGAAAGACAGACAGATAGACAGAAACACAGAAAGACAGAAAGACAGAAAGAAAGAAAAAAGACATCTATATTGAAAGGAACATACTTGTGTCAGAATTTTAGCATTGAAGATCTGTGTAATTTAATTAGTAAAAGTGTTAAAATTGCATACACCAAAAAATACCTTAGGCTCCAATCTATTAATTATTAGTTCTATTGCATCTGAGCCCATAATAGTTTTTAGGCGTACAGTCTTTCCCGTTAACTAATAAAGTGCTATCGAAATAATATTGTGAGCTTACAGGAATAGAGCTGCTCAGTCTTCAAAGGCTCCTGTGGCTGTGTCACACTTCTACTATTTAAAGATGTGCATAAAAGGGAAGATGAATGTTACCGATATTGAGGTAGATTTGTGGTAACAAAAGGCCATAGACAGTGTTGCGTGGAAGGTTCATATCAGGAAGTAAATGAGAATAAAGGTGGAGATGTCTGCAGAAGTGATGGGAGCTGAGTGTTTGAGAAGAAACAGACTTAACATAAATGATGGCAACGACGGCCCTGCAATTCTATGCTATAATTATGGGAGGCCTTTCTCAAAGTGAGCGAGTCTTGCTAGTCACACTCGCCATTGCCATAGGCTGTGAGTTCCATGCCTTCTTATAGCACAATATAGCACAATATAGCACAATATAGCACAATATAGCATAATATAGCACAATATAGCACAATATAGCACAATATAGCACAATATAGCACAATATAACACAATATAGCACAATATAGCACAATATAGCACAATATAGCACTAACGCCTGGAAAGACAGGGCCGTAGAAACAGTACATAGAGCAGTGGTTCTCAACTTGCAGGTCGCGACCCTTCAGTACAGTTCCTCATGCGGTGGTGACCCCTAACCACAACATTTTTCGTTGCTACTTCATAACTTCAGTGAATATGTGTTTCTCGATAGCCTTAGGCGACCCATATAAAAGGGTCTTTCGACCCCTAAAGGGGTCGCGACTCACAAGCTGAGAACCGCTGATATAGCAGGTCATCGAAAATGATTAGGGAGCCACAGTCATGTAGCGGCTAGACGCTCGTCTGCGGATCCGAAGGTCTTGGGTTCAGATCCTCAAAGAGCCGCACTTGTTTCAGAAATTACTCTAGCTCCCTGGCTGACCCAGCTTTAATTGGATACAAGGGAAAGCTCTGGGAAGTAAAGGTGGCTGGTGTGATGTTGACTACATCGCCCACCGAGTGCCGATCAGTCTATAAAATATAGGTCTAACCCTTATGCCCAAAACGCCTGAAAGCATAGAAAAGGGTCCTTGGCTTTACTGATGACTTTACACTGAGAATAATTGCCAGGATTGTAAGCTGTTGTTAAAAAAAATATTTAATGGATATATAAATGTCGCGTCTTCAAATGTTAAAAAAAACATTCCTAAAAGCTATAGAGCAATGATTCCCAATATTCATAAAAGCCATTGAGCAATGATTTCTAACATTCCTAAAAGCCATGTAGTAATTATTCCCAACATTCCTAAAAGCCATAGAACAATTATTCTCAACATTCCTAAAAGCCATATAGCAATGATTCCCAACATTCCTAGAAGCCACTGAGCAATGATTCCCAACATTCCTAAAAGCCATAGAGCAATGATTCCCAATATTCATAAAAGCCGTAGAGCAATGATTCCCAATATTCATAAAAGCCGTAGAGATATGATTCCCAACATTCCTAAAAGCCATAGAGCAATGATTTCCAACATTCCTAAAAGCCATAGAGCAATGATTCCCAATATTCCTAGAAGCCATATAGCAATGATTCCTAATATTCCTAAAAGCCATAGAGCAATGATTCCCAACATTCCTAAAAGCTACAGAGCAATGATTCCCAACATTCGTAAAAGCCATAGAGCAATGATTCCCAACATTCCTAAAAGCCATAGAGCAATGATTCCCAACATTCGTAAAAGCCATAGAGCAATGATTCCCAACATGCCTAAAAGCCATAGAGCAATGATTCCCAACATTCCTAAAAGCCATAGAGCAATGAATTCCAACATTTGTAAAAGCCATAGAGCAATGATTCCCAACATTCATAAAAGCCATGGAGCAATGATTCCCAACATTCCTAAAAGCCATAGAGCAATTATTCCTAACATTCATAAAAACCATATAGCAATGATTCCCAAACTTCCTAATGCCGCGACCCTTCAATACAGTTCCTCATGCTGTGGAACCCCAACCATAAAATTATTTTCTTTGCTACTTTATAACTTCGGGAATCGCCGCGGCGTAGCGGCTTGACGCTCGCGTGCAGATAGGAAGGTCGTATGCTCGCTCCCTGAAGGAGCCGGACTTTTTTGCAAAACTGACCTTGATTCCTAGGTCGACCCAGCCTTGAGTGGGTACCGGGTGCAGTCCCGGGAAAGTGAAGTCGGTCGGCGTGATGCTGACCACATCACCCATCTAGTGCCGATTGGTCTATACAAATATAGGTCTAGTCCTAAATGCCCTATATGCCTAAAGGTGTGGAAAAGGGATTTTTGCCTTTTACTTCATAACTTTCATGAATATGTGTTGTTCGATGGTGTTAGGCGACCCCTGTGAAAGGGTCGTTTGATCCCCAAAGGGGTCGTGACCCACAGGTTGAGAGCCGTTGCCTATAGTCCAACTGCTTTGCCCGCGGCAGCACGTGTAGATTGATTGTAAGGATGGTTCTTCGATCGACCGAAAGATTGATGCCTGTGGAAAGAATACCAATTTTTTTTCCCGGACGCAACTTTTTCTGCGTTTACCTTTCACTGCGACTGACTCGCTGCCTTGTTGTTTACAGCTAGACTGCGCCTTTTGGCCCAAATCCGATTTCATTATGATATAATTAGTTGAAAGTCACTTAAAAGATTTTGTCTATATGAAAAGAAATAACACTCTTATTAAAACCGTATTGGGCGGAAAAGCTGACGGCAAGTGAGCAAGAGGCAGACGGCGATACAAGTGTGAGGATAACATCAAGAGATGGACTTACATTGGTCTGGCAGAGCATACATCCAGAGAGAATAACAGAGAATGTAGGTGATCCATGGCAGACGACACCTGATTCAGTGATTGAATGTTCCCGTTTCCGTGTATTCCCATTTAGTCGCCTTTTACGACATGCTTATTAAGCGAAGACAAGTCTCTTCTTTCCACAGCCACTTCAACTTCACCCCCCCCCCCCCCCCCCCGCCTCTGTTTTTATTCTGAACGTAAGACCCATAATACACAAGTGTGGGTTAAGTAACAAGCCTTATATCAGTCAATGTCCCCGTGTGGGTTCTGAGACCCATTGTGAAGGCAAGCAGGAGAATAGACTCACTGCTTACCAAATAAGCGTGTCGTAAGAGTCGACTCTTTATGAGCTCTTTTCGAAATCGGAAGGCATCTGTCTGGGAGGCAATGACTGAATTGGAGCTTTCTTTGAAGTCGGAGAGCATTGCCAGGGGGGCAAGAAACCAACAGTCTGCATACAAATGAGGCAAATCTGGAAAACGAATGTGCACGCAAAATTTGGGTTCTGAAACCAAATTACAATTCAGAAGTGGATGAACAACCTGAACTTTCCGCCAGAATTTACAGCTGGTGAACGCTAAGAAGAAGGAGAAGAAATAAATCAATGTTGTGACATCAGATTGCTCAGGATTGCTCATCTACACCTCACACAGGAGGGAAAGTGCCCAGGGATGAGCAGGTCATTGTTCTACGACTGAAGACAGTCGAGAAATACGTGTTCTACGTCAGCACCTGTCTGTGTATCGGTGGGGTTATCTTGGCGGCCATCTTCTTGACCTATAACCTGTATCATGGCCGACTGAAGTAAGTGTAGACGTTGATAAGGTGTGGTTGTCAATGTGGGTGTGTTTGTGTACGTTTGTGTTTCTTTCCGTATATTTATGCGTGTTTGTATTCGCTTCTTTATGTTTGTGTATTTTTTTTTTAATGTTTATGCATTTATTTTTTTTTTGGCATTTGTTTGGTTGATTCTGAATTTTTTTTTTTTTAATTGATGCATCAGGTCATGTGCGCCTCTCGTCACAAACAAATCGGCCCACGAACACAAATTCCCAACCAATGTTGTTGACTCGACCCGCGAACAATGCATCGACGCACAAAAGCACAAACAAGGGCGCCATGTTTCTTCTGCAAGCAGAAAACATCAGTTGTACTCAGATTTGCGCACTGCATACAAAAAGGCGATACAAAAAAATAACAAATAAACCCTACGCCTTCCGACTCGTAAGCCAGCATACCGCGATCGAAACCCACTGCAGGCTGCGTGGATTGTTGTCGTGGTATGGGACGTCGCAGGTCGACCCAGCGTAAAATGGGTACCAGGATGGGCTGTCCTAGGAAAGTAAAGACAGCCGGCGTAATGCTGACCACATTACCCACAGAGTGCTGATGGTCTTTAAAAATATGGGACACTCTGCCCATATGCCCGATGCACCCAAAGGCGTGAAAAGGGATCTTTACTTTTTTACTTTTTACCTACGCCTTCACGGCATGACAATAGCCAGTGACAGCCAGCGTGCACTGGATCGCAAATTATTCCTCAGTACGGCGCTTAACGGCAGAAGTGGTTTATGATGATGATGATGATTATGGGGAGTTGGCACTAACTGTTGGCACAGCAAAGCAGAAGTCAATAAAACCGACCACAGATGTCACACACACAATTATACGGTTGAATGAAAAAAACATCCTCCAACTTACATACAAAGGACAGCACATTAAGAAGGTACCGCTGTTTGTGTCAGTAAAAGTTTGAAGCCGAACGCCACTCATGCATTCAGTAGAGCCAGTGAGTAAAATTTAACGGTCTGTTTACATATTCCCGTCACGGGACACTAGCCTCCATTTAGCACTGTATCACACACTTCTCTCATACGGAACGCCGTCATTGATTTACTACAGATCACTAAAGTCTATTTGCCACGGTACACTAACGCTTACACAGTGCGAGTCACTTGTACAGTGGATAGGTTAGTTGCGTATCCTTAACAGGACATTGCAGAACCAACCCCAGCACCTTTTTTGGCTGTTGTGGTATTTCTAAGCAAATTTGACGTCCAGTATTTTGCATTTGCTTTCTAAACGGTCAGTTGTAGGTACCAATGTCGAGACCAACGCATGACATGCTCATATCGAACCTGGCATCCCGGCATTACGAAGTGTGTTCGCAACGCCTAAGGTACCTACGCCGACAAAGAGCGTAAGCACTAGAGGAAAGTACAGATGGATGAAGAAGTCTAAAGTTAAAGCCTAAGAATCTACTTAATTGCACCGTATTTTTTTTAATCCAATGTGGTTGTGACCTTCTCAACAAAACGGTTAGCCACCTGCAGATAGTATCGCTAAAAGCACAAACTCTGTAGCTCTGGCGATTATCCCAGGGATCTCTGTAAACATTGCACTCGTGAACCCAACAACACATTCGTGAAAGGAACCTACGACCTTTGGAACACAGGGCAAATGGCTAGGTCACTTTGCCACTGGGACCCAAGGAACAAGAAATAGTAGTAGTAGTAGCAGCAGCAGCAACAAAACAGCAGCAACAGAAACAGAAGAATAAAAAATGAAATAGTTAGAAGATTTGTGAAAGAATAAAGTTATATTGATGTCATATTTTTAACGTTAGTTATCCTAATATTGAAATGTCTTATTGGAATATTTACGGTTCAGCCATTTTCGTACTCTTTTGTTAAACAGGTTCATCAAACTGTCCAGCCCTAAGCTCAACAACGTGGCCGTGATTGGTTGCATGCTGGTCTACACAACAGTTGTCATGATGGGATTGGATGACGCCATCCTCACTGATGACGCGTTTCCTGTCGTGTGCTCGGTCAGTTTCTTCTTCTTCTTCTTCTTCTTCTTCTTCTTCTTCTTCTTCTTCTTCTTCTTCTTCTTCTTCTTCTTCTTCTTCTTCTTCTTCTTCTTCTTCTTCTTCTTCTTCTTCTTCTTCTTCTTCTTCTTCTTCTTCTTCTTCTCTGGCCTAATACTTACAGTAATAATTGCGTATTGAAGAAAATCTATCGAACGTTTATTTTCCATAGACGCCTGAGCTCTAAGGTTCAAGTACGCATCGCTGTGAAGATTGAACTAAGCCAACAAATGCCCAAATAAAGCGGATATGTCGACCAAAAAACACAAATATTACAGCTGGGCTGCAAACATGCATGGCGTAATTACGCCTCTGACTGAACCCAGAAGAAGAAGAGGAAGAAGAAGGAGGAGGAAGAGGAGATGAAGAAGAAGAAGAAGAAGAAGAAGAAGAAGAAGAAGAAGAAGAAGAAGAAGAAGAAGAAGAAGAAGAAGAAGAAGAAGAAGAAGAAGAAGAAGAAGAAGAAGAAGAAGAAGAAGAAGAAGAAGAAGAAGAAGAAGAAGAAGAAGAAGAAGAAGAAGAAAAAGAAGAAGAAGGAGAAGAAGGAGGAGGAAAAGAAAAAGAAGAAGAAAAAGAAGAAGAAGAAAAATAAGAAGAAAAAAAGAAGAAGAAGAAAAAAAAGAAAAAAGAAGAAGAAGAAGAAGAAGAAGAAGAAGAAGAAGAAGAAGAAGAAGAAGAAGAAGAAGAAGAAGAAGAAGAAGAAGAAGAAGAAGAAGAAGAAGAAGAAGAAGACTAAGAAGAAGAAGAAGAAAAAGAAAAAGAAGAAGAAGAAGAGAAAGAAGAAGAAGAGGAAAAAGAAGAAGAAGAGAAAGAAGAAGAAGAAGAAAAAGAAGAAGAAGAATAAGAAAAAAAAAGAGAAAGAAGAAGAAGAAGAAAAAGAAGAAGAAGAAGAAGAAAAAAAAAGAAGAGAAAGAAGAAGAAGAAGAACAAGAAGAAGAAGAAGAAGAAAAGAAGAGAAAGAAGAAGAAAAAGAAAAAGAAGAAGAAGAAGAAAAAAAAGAAGAGAAAGAAAAGCAGCAGCAAAAGGAGGCGGAGCAGAAGAAGAAGGAGAAATATGCATTGGAGCGAATTTAGTACAACTTTAACCTTGGCTGTCAGGACTACCCGCCTGAATGTGTGCTAGGAGTAGTCCTGGGAAGTAAAGACGGTCAGCAGAATATTAATCACATGACGTACCCAATGCCGGCTGGTGTACAATACTATTGGAATAGCTTTATCAAGGGCGCAAACAGGATCATTAGTTTATTTTCTTCAATATTGCGAAGAAGTTGAAGACTGTCACAAAATATAAACAGTACTAGAAAGCACTCTATTATATGGAACTAGATACAAATCCATGCCATTTAAGGTTGGGAAAACAAATTATCGCATGCTATATAGTGCCAGTTTTAACATTTGACTGTGAATGTTGGAAAACTAATAAACAAGTCAAACAATTTCTTGAGGCCGCAAGGATGTGGTTTTAATAAAGAAGATTTACAATTCAGCAGAAAAGAGCAAACCGGATGTTTTAAAAGAGGCTAAAACTCGACAACTTATCATAAACATCAGAAAGAGACAGTCACCATCTTTTAGCCAAGCTATGAAAAGAAGGAAAAGAGAACACGTTGTGACCGCTGGAGATAGCTGTGAAAGGAGAGACAGGGTAAGACTGCGCGAGATCATTCAGACACAGATATCCGGCCAAAATGGAGGAAAGGCTTGGCAGAATATTTAGCATCGAAATTATTTTTGCTTTCGACAGCGCTTTGCTAATGCAGTTTCCACATAAGGACTGTAGTCTTCTACGGTTTCAGTGTCTGAGCTACTGAGTTTAGTGTTGGTTGCAGCCGTGTGAAATGCCTTTCATAAGTGCGGCGGTTGTCTCGTGGTATTTAATATGACCCGTAGCGGCTTCACGTGTGAGCTGGTAAAATACCTTATGTAATAATTCACCGTGTGTATAGTAACCAACTTATCGTGCCGGACTACTGCCATTAACGACAAACTACATTTCTGGTGGCTGTTGTTGGCTTTTGCGCTTCCAGCAACTGAAATATGCATTTACTGCAAGCGCATATTTCTAGATTGTTCCGGGACTAGTTGCTTGTTCACCAGTTTTCAATTGCAACAATGAGGGACATTTCATTTGATTTTCACTGGCACAGGAACGGAGCAAACAAGGGGGAAACCCGATTGTGGTAAAGTGGAAACTTCAACTAAGCAATCAACGCATGTGATGATACACGCAGGTGCAGATCATAGATTGTGTAGAAGCATGATCGCCCAAGCCAATCGACAAGGCACTTGATAATGGTGAGATATATCTCTGTTTTGGAGGTAATCAAATGTTGATAGGGAGCCACCATGGTGTAATGGCTAAACGCTCACCTGCGGATCTGAAAGTCGTAGGTTCAAATCCAAACGGAGCCAGACGCTTCTCAAAAATTACCTTGGCTTCCATGTTGACTTAGCCCTAATGGAGGAACCAGGTAAAGCGCTGGGAAGTAAAGGCTGCCAGTGTCGTGTTGATCACATCAGCCAGTGAGTGCAGGTTGGTGTATAGAACATTCGTCTGTCACCATATTCCCGCGAGACGCGTAGCTGCTAGACGCTCCTCTGCGGATTGAAAGGTCTTGGTTCGGGTCCTCGTGGAGCCACACCTTGGCTCCCAGGTCGACACAGCCTTGAGTGGTTACCAGGTGCAATCATGGGCAGTAAAGATGGTAGGCGATATGCCGATTGTCTATTAAAAAAATAGGTCTAGCCCTATATGCCCAATACACCTAAATGCTTGGAAAGAGTCTTTTACTTTACGTTTTAGTTACTATAGGCCCTATACGCCCCATGGGGCTACTTTACTAATCAAATGTTGATAAAACGACTAAATCTCTTTTCTAAAGGGTCGAGCCTTTCTACTGGCCGCTGGCTTCTCCCTGGCATTTGGCGCCATGTTTGCCAAGACATTCAGAGTTCATCAAATCTTTACACGCACCCACCACGGGCTTGTCAAGTCTAAGGTAATAGAGTTATAACCAATCTGTTGGTAACTGTTTTAATTCGAATAGCTGCTAGACAGACAGACAGACAGACAGACAGACAGACAGACAGACAGAGAGACAGACAGGCAGGCAGGCAGGCAGACAGGCAGACAGACAGACAGACAGACAGGCCGGCAGACAGACAGACAGACAGACAGACAGACAGACAGACAGACAGACAGACAGACAGACAGACAGACAGACAGACAGACAGACAGACAGACAGACAGACAGACAGACAGACAGACAGACAGACAGACAGACAGACAGACAGACAGACAGACAGACAGACAGACAGACAGACAGACAGACAGACAGACAGACAGACAGACAGACAGACAGACAGACAGACAGGCAGACAGGCAGGCAGGCAGGCAGGCAGGCAGGCCAGTAGACAGACATATAAATGAGTTGTTAAAGAATAGTACAAGTTTATGGTTGAGCATCAGCAAGGAAATCAAAGTCTAAAGTCTGAGAGCATGTGACTTCCCTATAGCCACACATGGATGTGAGCCGTTGACTATCTCGCATTCACAAAGAATGGCAATTTTGAGCTGAAATGCTAGGAAAGGTTCCTTGAAGACCATGGACAAAGAAGAAAAGGAATATTGATATTCTAAAAGATCTGAACATCAAAGGAAACAATATCTTGTCTCAGTAACCAAAATATTTGACCACATCAAGCGCCACGGTGGGTTGTAGGTATAGTAGCACAAGAGCCGGTATCAGGAAAGTGGGCAGGGGTCGACCAGAAAGAAAATGGGTGCAGGATGTAAGTGACAACTTGGCTAGTAAGTGCACGAGGCGGGATAGCTGACATGAAACCGAGTTACCTCCCTCCCCCTCCCAGGCAGACCGTGATGAGAGCGACGTTCTGCAAAAGATACCAGCTGCACGATGATGATGAAAAAGTGAGCTTGCCGGGGAGAGTGGGGGAAAAAAAAACGTTTTTTCCTGTAAAAAGGAACAAAAATATTTGCAATGATTGATTCTAATCTGAAAATGAAATCGAAATCACCAGTTGTGTCAAGGCAATAACCAATTTGGAAGTAGCCAATAGGAGGAAATGAAAACGTCATTTCCTCCAAGGGGAGATCAATCTAAAAGCTCCGGGATTAAAGTACTTCTGGACGTCTGGACTCTCCGACTGGGCAGCCTGAAAACGGAGTCAGGTGATCTCCGATGGGGATTAGCTATCCAGGGGTACCTCGGCGGGGCAATCAAGCATGTTGATGTGATTTCATGGGTGCGAGTTTCCCGCCAAGAATTTGTGGAAATGGACAGGGGTAATACCATTAGTTGTTGTTTGATTAACAGATGGAATCTGATACGGTCAGAAGGTTGTAACCAGTCGTTTGTAACATTTATGAAACTATAAGAAATGTCGTCTAACTGGAAATCAAACAGTTTGTAAATGAAAGTAATCATTTTTCTAAGGGGTGTATTGGCGTTCATATTAGGTAGATTTAAAGACCTCTACAAATATTTGCATCCAGTCATCCCTTTATCCACCCATTGAAAGGTCATTAATTTCCCCTCCCCCCACCACCCACGCAATCAACACATCAATCTATCCTCCCAATCATCTCTCCATCAATCCATCCTCCCAATCACCTCTCCATCAATCCATCCTTCCAATCGTCCTTCAGTCCAAGCATTAATTCAAAAATTAAACTACCCATCAATACACCTCTGGATTTATCTATACACCCAATAATCTCTTCACTTAATCATCTCTTCATCCATTGAACCATTAAATCACTCATTCATCAACCCATCGATCCACAAATCAATCCACCCACCTATCCACACATCAATACACCCATCGATCCATCTATTGATCCACCCATCCATCCACTCATTAATTCCCCAATCCATTAACCGCGTGCTCCCACCGCCTCCCACAGCTGATCCAGGACACCCAGTTGCTGGTGATCATCGGGGTGCTCCTGGCCGTGGATTCTGTCCTGGTCTCTGCCTGGGTCATCGTGGATCCCATGGGTCGACAGGTCACCAATATCACCAGAGAGGTAGGCTGCTTTCATTCCTTTGTGGTCACATATTATGGTCTACGCGTGTCTTTGTTGTCCTGGCTAAAGAAGCTTGCGATATATCTCTCTGTCCGTCCATTCGTCCATCTGTCTGTCTATGATGGCCGTCTGCCCATCCATCCATCATACGTTTGTCCATCAGTCCATCCATACGTCTGTCAGTCTGACTGTGTGTGGATACGTTTGTATGTCTATCTACGTGTCTTATCTGCCTGGCTGACTGTGTGTGGATATGTTTGTGTGTCTGTTTGCGTGTCTTATCTGTCTGACTGGCTGGCCCTTCAGCTGTCCGTCAGAGCGTCCCTAAATTTTGTGTGTGTTTAAAAACATAGTGAATTGAGATTTGAACATAGAATCACGAAACCAGCAGGCAAGATATCTACATACTTCGCTACTGCGGCTCAGGTGCCATACTCCAGATGTTACTAATTACTTGTGCCCACAAAGCTATCTGTGAGCCTTGACACTGGAACATGGAGGCTTGGGCATCTCAAGGAACCTCCCCCCCCCACCCCGCCACTAGAGTAGTAGTGACGGTTACAACAAAACCGTTCTAGAGTAGTAGTGGCGGTTACAACAAAACCTTTTTCGAGTAGTAGTGGCGGTTACAACAAAACCGTTCTAGAGTAGTAGTGGCGGTTACAACAAAACCATTCTCGAGTTGTAGTGACGGTTACAACAAAACCGTTCTCTAGTAGTAGTGACGGTTACAACAAAACCATTCTAGAGTAGTAGTGACGGTTACAACAAAACCGTTCTAGAGTAGTAGTGACGGTTACAACAAAACCGTTTTCGAGTAGTAGTGACGGTTACAACAAAACCGTTCTAGAGTAGTAGTGACGGTTACAACAAAACCGTTCTAGAGTAGTAGTGACGGTTACAACAAAACGGGCCCGGAAACGTGAACAGGTCCAGTATTGTTAAGATGAACACACCCCCCCCCCCTCCCACCTCACATCCCCGACCCCTATGTTGGCTCTGTGTTGGTGCTTCAGCGGCGAAGTTTGCTTCCCAAAGCTCTTTCTGGAGCTGATCGCGTTTTGTTGTTGGCTAATTTTGTCCCAACACAGAAAAATGATCAGCTAAGAAAGCCAATCGATAGTCGAAGATGGTGCCTTAATTTTTCCATTTCTGTTAGGACCAGCTGAAACACTTGGCCCGATTGAGCCCAAATAAATATTTACGTTTGTGGGAATATTTTCCCTTCGTCGCAGTAATCTCTGGGTTGTATTATCGCCATCTCGCATGTTTTCCCACTTTTTAAAAAAATGCTCCAGCTAGTTGTTGGGACATTTTTATCCTTTGCCGAGATAATAATTCATATCCCAGCTAGCGATACGAGGAGGCGCAATCCAGTGATGAGATGTTTTTATCTACTGATGTAATCTGGTACTAGCTTTAGACAGACGGGATGCATTTTAAAAAAAGGACAAAAGAAGAAGAAAAAAGACGAAAAAGATAATATTTACTACATTTTTTTAATATTATTTCAAATCATTTATCATCGTTGTTCAGTTTGTGCTATTTATGTCATATAGGACTTGCGCAGTCTATTCCTTCTGTCTTATTCTATTATGTGCGAATCCTTTTGATATCCCATTGATGGGGGAATCCAGCCCAGCATCTTTGGGCTTCTCTTATCAACGTTCATTTTGGGGTTTCATTAGGGCGCCCTGGCTTTTTTAGTTCACGAATGCCAGATTTGGCTCCCAAATATATCACAACTGTCTGGCTTTCATTTGTTTTTTCTCAGGTCTCTGCCGAGGATGACGACCTGATCTTCCTAGGAGCAACTTGCTACCTGTCACTCAGCCCACCTGCAGAAGTGGTTGGCTGCCTTTTATGTCTACAAGGGCCGTGCTGCTGATTTTCGGTGTCTACATGGGCCCCCCCCTGGGAGACGAAGGCACGTGAAGATCCCGGCACTAAACGACTCCCCGGTATATAGGTCAGTCTCCATCTTGTTTCAGTGTAATGGCTGAAAAATGTTTTTCGAAAGATTGCTGGATTATTGATTGTGAGGTTTTTTTGAGCAACGGATCAACATCATGGCACATGGATATAACCCACAAGTGCTCCTTGTCTTCTTCTAGCTCAAGTCTGAGTCCGAAAAGAAGCTCAGCAACAGTGCACAGGCCCTGTAGCACCGGCTAGGATCCTGAAATACTTTGGTAGATTTTCAACTCCCTAATTTTGCCCGTGGCAGGCGTGTGCCCCCGGGCCAGCGATTTTTAAAAAATAGTAAAGATCCCTTTCACGCCCTTAGGGCGTATCGAGGCATATGGAAAGAGCACCCATATTTTTACAGACCAATCGGCAACTCGGTGGGTAATGTGGTCAGCATTACGCCGGCCGTCGTTTACTTTTCCCAGGACAGCCCATCCTGGTACCCATTTGAGGCTGGGTCGACCTACTCTTTTCGATTTCCAACTGCCAAACGATTTTTTTACGTGCACAACAATACACAAGGGCGTCCGATCTCACAACCCAGAGACCAGGGGGACTTACTAGAAGTCGAAGTCCACGTGAAAAAATCCCAGCCCTTACAGGGGATTAAACCCGGAACCTCTAGCACTTAGACGGACACCATGCCTCGAGACCATGCACCCTCTTGAATATTGATTCAAGAATATATATCACAGCACACCGGGCATACACATAGGTGCTCAGTCTACCGCAGCAGTGCCTTAAGGTGTGGAAGCTAACTGTTCTTGTAGCACTCTGGTTATAAATTCGTCCTTCTTTTCCTCTCATACGCCCCTCCTTGTCTCAATCAGTCATTTCTCGTTATGCCTAGTGGCACATGAGGCCCCAGAGAGGACTTTCCATGCTTTCCTGTCCTGTGCAATCTTCAGTGCAGTTTTCCATGTCAAAGATGCCGCACTCAGGTTACTTTCCATCGTTCGTCTCCATGTTGTTTTTGAGCGCCACTGTTTTCTTTTTCCCTCTGGTGTCCACGTGAGAGCTGTTTTGGCGGGTATATCAGGATTCATTCTCATAACGTGGCCAAGCCATTTTCATCTTCTCTTGGTTATCGTATTGTCTGATCCACACTTAATTTCACATGCACACATGCTATTGTATCTATTTAGTTTTCTATCAGTATTAGTTCATAAATGGTCTTCATAGTGTCTTCTTTGTCAGATGTAAGTAATTCTGTATCCAACGCTTTTGTAGTCTGAAGATGACTCGAAGTGTATCCTTATATTGTGTAGCATTTTGCTTGAGACTTGACATGACAAGACAGAAAGATCACAGCGTGTGATATGAGGGGCCAATAACGTCATCGTCTTCTCAGCAGATAGACTGGTCGGGGCTCTGCACCACTTGGTGGTGAACTGATGTATGACAAGCTAGATGTTTGTGAGTCCCTTTCGGGCGAGGGTGAACAATGTGGAGTTACAAATAGATAATTATGGTTTTGAGGAGAATGTCTTGCGTGTGAGCTACCAGGTGATCTGCTGAAGTTTCAACACTCAAGTGAAAGGCTAGACGGATGTAACAATCGGACAGTTACAGGTAATTTCGGAATTGGAACTCTTCGCTTGCTGCTGAAGATGGGAGTGGAGCGCTTTATGGGAGTGTCGGGAGTGCTACGATATGTCGATTGTTAATTCAATATTCAAAACTCGGCAGGTCCTTTCAGAGCATCGCTCTGGTTACGGACGCCCTGAACATTTCTGATTTTCTGGTGGTAGTAGCAGTGTTGAGGTAGTGGTGCGCAGTATTAGTAGTTGTTGTAGGAGTTGTAGTATTTGTAGTGTGATTGTAGTAGTAGTATCATCAGTAGTGTCGTAGTAGTATTAATAGTAGTAGTATTAATAGTAGTAGTGTAGTAGTAGTAGTAGTAGCATTAGTAGTGTATAGTATAGTAGTAGTAGTAGTAGTAGTAGTAGTAGTAGTAGTAGTAGTAGTAGTAGTAGTATGGTAGTAGTTGTAGCTTTAAGAGTAGTAGAAATAGTAATAGTCTCTGCAGCAGCAGAAGCTGTAGTTTGTATGAATGTTTTCAGTGATTGTAGTTGGTAGTATAGTAGTAGTCCGTAGTAGTAGTAATATGTATCAGTATTAGTAGTCAGTAGTAATTGGTAGTAGTAGTCATTAGTAGTAGTAGTAGTAGTAGAGTAGTTAGTATAGTTAGTAGTAGTGTAGTAGTAAGCTTTAATAGTAGAAGATCATGTTAATAGTAGTTTAGAGCTATCCTAATGAGAACTGTTAGTTGATAAGTATTCTAGTAGCTGATTAAAGGCAGTTTTGGCAGGTAGTAGTAGTTGTCAGTAGTAGTGTACTATAGTAGGAAGGAGTAGTAGTAGATAGGAGTAGTAGTAGTAGTAGTCGTAGTAGTAAGTAGTGAGTTACTAGTAACGTAGTGTATAAGTAGTACGTAATAGTAGTCTATATGTAGATAGTAGTATTAGTGAGTATCTTTTCAGAGTCAGTCTGAGAATAGTAAACTGTACGGCGTGCAGTAGCTCAAAAGCAGCCAGAAATCTAGACATGGACCTTCAGAGCGTACCGAAGTAAGTCTACTTTGTTTTATAATCCTATATATATAAGAAAATTCAATTGTTTTGTGGGTGTTTGTTTCACCCCCTATCAGACTCGCGAAACTACTGAAACGATTTCGCTGAACATTTTTCAGGATATATTTTGGTGTGATACGCGTGATGTTGAACTGTCCCGTGGTTTGAAATGTCTAAGCCATGCATCAACTGTTAGAGATAGGTTGACCACAAATTTTATTGCCAAAATATTTACGCAGATAACTAATATTTATATTCAAACTGTAGTGATTTTTCTATTATAGTCCACGTTAGTATGCGATGCGCATGCGCCGGTATTTACCATTCGCGCGGCTGAGTTTACGCTGCAGCCGAACGCCTTCTCTAATACTAATACATAGAAGCAGGTTCGTGTGTACAGTGCAAACAAGGACTATCTATTCCTCATATTTGCACAATAACCATATTAAACACGATTTCAAATTGTCGGTTTTTTTGTTTCCAAACAACCTTCGTGGGGGGGGGGTGGGGGGGGGGGGGGCAATCAATGACTATCCTCGACATCGCGTAAGGGTTATACAGACAGTGACTGCGACATTAACTTCATTAACCGTGTTAGACACGTGCGATTTCTATTTCATTAACGATATAGACTGGAGTATCTAGCTGCTACGCGAAGAACAATTGCCTACGGTTGTTGAATTGTGTTTTCGTAATCGCGCACACAGTTAAGTGTATTGGGACTCCACATGGTCTAATTACGTTGCGTTCTCCTTTGCTTTCGGGTGTGTGTGCCTATCTGGGTCTGCCGATTTTTAAGTGTCTGTTGTCGTCGAGTGGTTAGAACACTGGGTTCATGTTGCGGTAAACCGTGGAGTTTCGATTCCGCAGTCGGTCGTTTTTTTTTTTTTTGCCCCGGGAACTAAAATAATAATCCTCATTCGGCTCTGCCGTGGTAACCAGCACTAGGCGATGCTTGGCCTTAGGATATTTAAAAAAATAAAAAGATATAACAAGTAAATGGGTAAAACCATATTTGATAATTAGAATTTGACCATTTCGCATACTTACTGATTGCATTGTTAAACTTTCCCGAGTTTGCGAATGGTTACGCTGGACAATTTTATTAGATTTTCATTTTTTTTCCAAGGAGGATTTAGTTATTTTCGATACTGTGTGGATTTTTTTAAGCTGTGCTGTTTTACACAATGGCGTTTCATTCCCTAATTATTGGTGTTTTTTTGTTTTCCTGTGTTCGTGCTGCGTTCAATGTTTTTTTTTTTTTTCTCCAACCTACTTCAATGAGGAAAAGAGTTGTTCGGGTGAATGTGGGGGAGGGGGGGGGGGCAAAGACGTATTAACTGGAGACAAGAGCTTTAAGTCACAGTAACTGCTTTATACCACTTTAAAGTAGCAGCAGCCAGTAATAGTTGTTCACACAAAGGAGCTGGTAACACCCGAGTTCGTCTCGATGTGAATCCGCCCCCCGGTAGTCAAGGTCTATGGCGGTCTGTCTTGTCGGCAAGTGAAATTATACAGTCCTAACCTGACCAGTCTGTGGCGACCAGCACTAGCCCATGCGTGTGAACGCAAATCTTCTGTAGCTCATTCCGACTCTCCTTGTCCTACGCTCCGATGGTCACACAGAGATACGGCAGTGAACATGTATTGTTATTATTGTGTTGTACTGGGTACTGGAAGGATTATGTGGTAAATATTTACAGTAGCCTCATTCAACGTACCTTTTTAAAAGTCTGCCTGCTCCCTATTTTAGTCCATCCATGGACAGAGGATAGATCAATGTACAGTTACAGCAACAACAAAATATCGCCAGTTATTAGTGATTTTTCATAATCCTCGTAGAGGAGAGAGCAGTAGTCGGTGTAAGATGGGAGGGGGTAATGACTAAAATTTAAGAGAAAGCTTTAAACACTTGAATTTTGCCCAAGTTCCTCATTTGCGCCAAGTTGTTTATATTTTAATAACGCTACCTCCGCTGTCTCGATTTTGTTACGACTTCTTTTGTTATTCACAAGTACAGTTTGTAGCTTCTACCTTCCGTCCCCTATAAAAAATACAAACAGCTTTAGCATGTGATAACCTAACTAAATAAACCATTTTTTGTTATTGTGCTAATAACACCATTTAACACGACCCACTAATATAATAAACACAAAATTATAAAGGTGCCGTGTTCTATTGAAAGTTGAAAACCAGGACTATCGCTATCTCCGTTTCAGAGAATGTGATTATGCGTGACATTAACTGTATTAGACACGTGCGATTTCCATGTGTCTTTCTTTTCCAAAAACCTTTGATGAGGGAGATAGTAGTAGGTGGATTTAGTTGTGGTGGTGGCGCGGGGAATCAAAGGACTATCTCTATATCTGAGCAGACAATGATTGTATTAGACCACGTGCGATTTCTTTTTTTCATTTCATTTCCCATTTAGCCCAAACTATGCCACAGCAACGCGCGTGCCGGGTACAGCTAATATAATATATATATATATATATATATATATATATATTATATATATATATTCTATCATATATATATATATATATATAAATATACATGTCTCTCAAATTAGAGTTGACAGTAATCTATGGGGGGGGGGGGGGGGGGAATTATGAAAGATTGAAAATTGTAAACTTGAAATTGATTACATCTTTTAACAATATTTTCCTATATGATTACATCTTGAAAATATGTTCCTGATAAAGGGAGAACGGACACTCAATCTGTTGAGATCACGTGATGATTTAAATTCCTGAACTGAACTGAAAGATTATGGACGTGAGGCAAACAAAAAAAAAATTTGATCCTACAGAATAATCTGTGATCTGGCGAGAGATCAAACTCACACCGCTAGCAGCTCAATATGGCTAAACCAAACACAGAAAGGTGATCCTGCACAAGTAAACGACTAAGTAAAAGCTAGAAACGAAATATATTTCCCTATTGTAATCTAATCTGATATCCAAACATTGCATTATATTGAAGCCATCCGATGTTGTATTTTACAGAAGAGAGCTCGAAATTTTCCGGACAGTTTACACGAGCACTACATATGTCCGAGAAAATGCTTAGACACAAAGGGGTCTTAAAACGTAACATAACCATGTGACCCCTTAGAGCTGTGGGGGTTTATCGATGGAAGCATTAGCAACACCACGACATCTTCTCTGTATTTCCTTGTTGAACAAGTGTATATTAGTCCTGTCCATCACTTGATGTTGTCATTCCAATTTTTTCTTTGCCTCCTCTTTTTCGACTAATCCCTCCACCCCCTCTCAGTGATGTTTTTTTTTTTAATACAGCCTTTGCAGTCGAACCATTTCTCACCACGTAGTACCTGAATAAAACTAGCTTGCAGCGTCTCACCACTGCTAATAGAGACAATTCTTTTGTAAAATCCTACCCCAGATGACGTCACAGGATAGTGCAACACTTTAGAGGGTGGCAAGACTGGGTTTCCCGGCCTTATAATGTCCCTAACGACCCCAGAACATCTAGAACTGGCCCAAACCCCAACCCACTAGAGAGTGCAGCCTAGGTCCCACGACTGCATGCAGCCTAGGTCCCACGACTGCATGCAGCCTAGGTCCCACGACTGCATGCAGTCTATCTACCACCCCCTGAAATATTAGACTGTCCTGTAACCTGTGGATTTTCCCTGTTTGGGGTAGGATATTAAGAAAGCACCATAGAGGCTGCTGATGTCCTTCCGAAGTGTTTCTCTCTTACATATTTGTGTTCTAAATCACAAATTCGTAAAATTCGTCTTATGCAATATGTTCGAAAGCCAGGATCATCCTTTCCATTTACATTCAGTAGTTTGCCATTATTTGAGGATTCTTAGCTGAAATGTTATAGAAAGATTCTCAGAACAATATAGACAACGTAGAAAAGAAATGCAAACAGTCTAAAACACCCGAAATTCAAGGAAGACAGGTTACTAAACAGCATCTTGTCTTGGAAGCCAGAATATTAGGGCCATCTCAAACGCCACGGCAGAGTGAAAACAAAGTATTAGCAGAAGACATGGTGTCAGGAAGGAGGGGCAGGGGCCGAACAGAACGAAGATGGACACATAATATAAATGACTCCCGGGGTAGGAAGTGCATGAGGTGGGAGAACTGACGAGAGAAACAATTTCTGTCAGGCAGACTGTGATGAAAACGACTTTCTGCAAAGGAACTGCTAAGGCTATGGTCCACCCTTTTTAGGGCAGACCGAGAACCCTTCCCTCACCCTGACAGCAGCAGCAAACCTCAGGCGTAATATGATCGCCACAACAGAAACGTCAATAACTGGAAAACGAATTCCAGACACAAAAACACAGACCTCGATATAACCACTGCTCAATCCAGGAGCCGGTTGAAAGAGGCACGAAGTTTTTTTTTTTTTTCATCAAGATCAAGGAACTGCTACACGAGGATGATGATGAATTTGCCATTGCCTACTAAGTAGTCAGTGCTCCATACCCATTTCGAAAAAAAAAAAACCAGAGCGATCTGCTGCCAAATCGCCCGCA